GACAAAGGTCCCCTGCTCCCCCACGTATAGCCTCAAACGACTGCCGGGGCAAGTGCTGTTGACAAGGAGCACCTATGAAGGCCGTCACGGCACATGAAAGAGGTGGATGGCCAGCACCACGCACACATGCCACACCTACCATGTACGTGTGGTCGCTAACAGCACTTGCCCCAACAGTCTATGTAGGCTAAAGGGGGCATATTTGTCCTCGTGTGTGTGTGTGTGCGCGCGCTCGCTGACAGCACTTGGCACCTCACCTGTCTGTTAAAGGCTCTACGGGGGGTCTTTGGCTTTGCTGTGATGGTGCGCGTCTGTGCGTTGACGTGCACGCGTACACATATATACAAAGACAGAGATTCCCCGTATAGCCTTAAACGGACTGTTGGGGCAAGTGCTGTTAGCAAGTAGCACCTATGAAGGCCGGAAGGGTACACGAGGGGGTGGATGACCAGCAGCACGCCCAACCGCCTTTGTCTCCCCAGTGGCGATGTTTACGCACCTCACCAGGTACTAATTTTGAGGCTGAGTCGACCTAGGGGATGTCCAGGACCGATACAGATAATCGTCACTGATGTTGGCCGTGAGCGGGAATCTAACCCAAGTCACTAGGTTCACAGCGCAGCGTGCTAACCACTACACACTACCGCTCCACACACACAGGCACATGAACACACATGAACACACACACACACACGTCCACGTGAAATGTGATTCTTTGTTTGAGCGGTAGTTGAACACAAGACATCAAATACACCACTTGTCATTTACTTCGTAAAAAATAAGCATTACGACCGATTAAAAAAAAACGAATTACGTAAAGTTAAATAAGTTTCCTTCGAATTGGCAATTGTCCGAAACGTCATAACTTATGTTCTTATTGCAGGGATATAAATATATATGTTATCTTGCGTGTATATATTTAAACATTGCGAATAGTCATTTGCCTCCGTGTCGTCATTATCATTGCCCCCACTTTCCAGTATAAGATCTGAACGCGTAAATAAAATGAAAATCAGAAGTGTATTTTTTTTCCCGAGTAAAGCCCATTAGGCTAAGAAGCTTTACATCAATAAAGATTACGAAGGGGAGCGGTGGCGCAGTAGTTTAGCGCACGGCTGCTCGATCACCCCAGTGGCGACCCGAGTTCGATTCCCGCTCATCACCACCATCACCACCACCATCATCATCAATGGTGAAGGAACACAGAAACCTGCAGAACCGGTTCTGTGGGCCTCCCCTTGAGTCGATCAACTCGGCCTTCAACACTGGAGGAAGACAAAGGTGGTCGGGCGTGGTGATAGCCACGTAGCGTCCCTTCCCCCAGTCCGTTAGAGGCCATACGGGGGGATCTTTAGTGGACAGTAACATATGCTCGCTCACAGCGTTCACCGCAGCGATCTATGTAGGCCATGTCGCTATAGAGAAGATATTTGATACTCGCGCGTGTATGTGTGTGTGTATACGCGTGTGTGTACACATGTACGTGTGTGTGTATACGCGTGTATGTGTGTGTACACATATACGCGTGTGTGTACGCATGTACGTGTGTGTATACGCGTGTGTGTGTACACATATACGCGTGTGTGTACGCGTGTGTGTGTACACATATACGCGTGTGTGTGTACGCGTGTGTGTATGTACACATATACGCGTGTGTGTGTACACATATACGCGTGTGTGTGTGTACACATATACGCGTGTGTGTGTACGCGTGTGTGTATGTACACATATACGCGTGTGTGTGTACACATATACGCGTGTGTGTGTGTACACATATACGCGTGTGTGTGTACGCGTGTGTGTGTGTACACATGTACGCGTGTGTGTGTACACATGTACGCGTGTGTGTACACATGTACGCGTGTGTGTGTACACGTGTGTGTGTACACACACGTGTACACATGTACGCGTGTGTGTGTGTACACATGTACGAGTGTGTGTATACACGTGTGTGTGTACACGTGTACGTGTGTGTGTAAGTTTTGTATATATAGCGCTGGGGAGACAAAGGCGGCCGGGCCTGGTGCTGGTCAGGAACTCCTTCGTGTGCCGAGTCGTGCCGGGCCGTCTTAAGGCGCTCACTAACACTTGCCACAACAGTCTGTTAAAGGCGGGATCTTTGTTTTTGTGTTTATATTGTATATATAAATTTATAGAGATTAGGATTCGATTAATCGTTTTATAAATGTTCTGTTTTAATACAAAATTGAGGTTTATTTGAATTACACACACAGCAGATTATATATATTTACGTTTAAATAATTGTCTCACCGGGGATTAAATTAGCTCTCATTTTTCATTGTAGAGAGATATATATTAGTGTTTGCAATATACGAATTTAGAACGCAGTTAATTTTTTTTTAAATGACATTCAAAAAACCAATACGCGTTTCATGACTACCTCACAATTTCATCGTAAAATGTAGCGGGTGCCCCGGTGGTTCATCTGTGACACAGAGATTCAGGAGCTCATCCCATTCAGATTCTCTCTTTGTATGTTGTCGACCTTCTTTCGCACCGTACGTAGCCAATCGGAGGTGCTGGGGTGTTTGTATACGTGCACAGTGTACGCAATGTCAGTATGATTCGCTTGACCATATATACTTCACCACCGCTGCCGGATTATCCTAGTAGCAAAAGTAGCTACATCTGTAGTAGTAGCAACGTGCCCAGCACTTTCAAGGGCCCCGCTCGAAATGCTTTCAAGATATCAATTCCAGTTCAGTGATTCTGCCCTTGCTCTATTACTACAGTACTATACCGCCCTTCAACTTTTATGAACGACTGGGTGTTTGAGGTTAGCGATTTGTCGTATTAACTGGCCGTATAGCAAATGAAAAAATACAATTACTTTACTATGCAAGTTAACACAAATTGTGTTTTAATATTTGTGTGTGTGTTTTTTTTAAATGTAGGGCCCTTTAATAACATAATGCTACAGGCCCCGCACTCGCTTACTCCGGCACTGCTCACCACGCCGATCACTCGAGATTAATTTTGTATAGCCGTGCTCGGGAATCGAACTCCAACTCAATAGTGCAATGCAGTGCTAACCACTGCGCCACCGCTCCTGTGCCCCACGTGTGTGTGTGTGTGTCCTGTGCGGTGTATCAATAGGTGCTCGCTAACAGCGCTTAAGACACAACAGTCTGTTTAGAGGTTATACGGGAATCTTCGTCTGTGTTTGTGTGTATGCATGTATATACATTACAATACAATTGTATAAACACTGGTATTGGTTTTTCATTCCGTGGCTGTAACGTTCACCTATGCACACAATGAGAGAGGCACGCGCACACACACACAACGACAAATACATAACACACACAAACATACACACACAAACATAGACACACGCGCGCGCAGATATAGACACATACACGCGCAGATATAGACACATACACACACGTACAGAACGTAGGAAAGACAAAGATCCCCCGTATAGTCTAAACAGACTGCTTGGGGCAAGTGTTGATATCGAGCACCTATTGAAGGCAGCCAAGCACGACGCCCGGCCGCCTTTGTCTCCCCATGAAAAAAAACAAATACACGTGTGATACACACATGTATTATACATCAACACGCTGACACACAATTGTGCAATAGGCACATACAGTCCATACAAACTTGTGTGTTATCAACATACGTAATAACACGTGACATACCATCCCCATACATCGGTGTGCAACACACACACACACACACGTAATAATAATAAAGACAAAGATCCCCCGTATAGCCTTTTCGCGGACTGTTGGGGCAAGTGCTGATAGCGAGCAGCACCTATGAAGGCCAGCACGGCCCACGATGGGAGTTGGGTGGCCGACACCACGCCCGGCCGCCTTTGTGTCCCCAATTGCTGATGTTTACACGCCGCACAAAGTTTGCCACTTGAGGCTGAATCGACCCTATAGGGGAGGCCCAGGACCGGTTCAGATAATCGCCACTGTGGAGGAATCGAACTCAGGGTTTGGCGGGTTTGTAGCGAAGTGCGCTCCACCCACAATAACACACGCAAACATACAGCACGACAGACAGACAGGCACACGCACGCACGTGACGCAGCACACGCATTGATTGTGAATAAGCGATGCACGCAGAGTACATTTTTGGCATTAAGCTATTAGCGTGGGCCTCCAAACCCATCTAACCAAATATGGCATCATGGTGATACATACACAACATTAGCCGTCGCTCGAAACTAAGTGGCGGTGACGTTACCACGACGCTTGTGCCAGGCTAGGTGTACAAAAGCACAACAAAGATCCTCCCCCCCCCCCCCCCCCCATATAGCCTTAACAGACTGTAGGGGCAAGTGCTGTTGGCGAGCACCTATGAAGGCCGGAACGGTACACGAGGGGGTGGGTGGCCAGCACCAAGCCCGGCCGCCTTTGCCTCCCCAGTGGCGATGTTTACTACACACCGCACCAGGTAAATCATTTGAGGCTGAGTCAACCTGGGGGAGGCCCAGGACCGGTTCAAATAAATCGTCACCGGGTGTTGGCCGGGAGCGGGACTCGATTCCCGGGTCGTCGGGTTCGTAGCGCAGCGTAAGCGCTCACTCTACCACCCCCCACACACACACACAGACACACAGACAGACACACAGAGACGCACACACAGACACACAGACGCACACACAGACACACACACACAGACACACACACAGAGACGCACACAGACACACAGAGACGCACACACAGACACACACAGACGCACACACACAGACACACAGACACACAGAGACACACAGAGACACACACAGAGACACACAGAGACACACAGAGGCGCACACACAGACACACACAGACACACACACAGACACACACACACACAGACACACACACAGACACACACACAGACACACACAGACACACACACACACAGACACACACACACAGACACACACACAGACACGCGTCGTTGTTGCGTACAACATCACCCCCCTCCACCCCGAGCCCCCCGGTGCCCGCAACCTCTACACCCTCCTCCTCCTCCTCCTCACTCTCCAGCGACCCCGCCCGTCGCCCCCCGGTCAGTACTTCCCGCAGTCGTACCCGCCGTAGTGACTCCCCGCCGAGCCGTAGAGCGGCGGCGCCAGGCGGAAGGGCGACATCTGGCAGCCGGCTGCCCCGCCGCTCGAAGCGACGCCACCCCCGACGCCACCCCCGACGCCACCGCCGACGCCGCCGCCCGCGTTCGCTCCGTCGTGCAGAGCCATGCGCGAAGCGGCGGCGGCGTCCAGGGCGAACGCAGCCGCAGCGGCAGCCGCAGCCGCCGCGGCCGCCTGCCCCTGCCCCGCGTACGACTGCCCGGGCAGCTGGGGCAGATCTCCCGTGGCGGCAGCCGCCTGCCCCAGGTACCAGCGGGCGGCGGCTGCGGCGGCAGCTGCCGTTGCAGGTCCCGCTGTGGGTGGCCGACCCGTGGCGGCTACGGAATAGTGATGCCCTCCTCCTACTCCTCCTCCTCCTCCTACTCCACCTCCTCCGCCGATTCCTCCGATCCCTCCTCCTAATCCAGCTCGCTGCATTTGCTGCAGTTGGGAATTCGCGGAGGTGCCGCCCATGCTTTGCTCGGACGCTTGACCCAGCAGTCCCAGAGTGCTGGCCAGAGATCCCGAGGCACCGCCACCGCCCAGCGTCTCGTCCACGGCTCCCGCTGCGTGGCCCGACCCGATGGCGTTGTGGCTGTGGTCGGACGACCTCTCGCCGGCGTAGAGGCTCATGGCTTGCACGCTGCAGTGGTAGTTCTTGGCGGACGCCGACGTGCTGGTCGAGGCGCACGACGCGAGATGGCTCTGGTTTTGCCCGCACGAAGGAGACACGGAAGGGGGAGTCGAACCGTAGGGGCTCAGCTGAGCGGATGACGGGTAGAGGGCCTTGGGGTGAGAGCCGATAATTGACGGTCGGCTGAGCTCTAGTTGCTGCTGCTGCTGATGGTGATGATGCTGCTGCTGATGCTGCTGATGGTGATGACTTTGTTGATGTTGCTGCTGTTGTTGTTGTTGCTGCTGTTGTTGCTGCTGCTGGTTGTGGTGGTGGTGGTGATGATGATGGTGGTGGTGGTGCTGGTGGTTTGGAGAAACGCGCGCCAGGGTCATTATCTTCTTCACGCTGAATCCACTCAACTCATTGTCACCGCCACCACCACCACCGCCACCACCACCACCACCGCCGCACGCTCCGTGATTCATGAGAATGGCACCGGGCCCCGTTGTCGCCACGACCGCTGAGCCCATTCCTCCTCCCGCCTCGACGCAGTCGGTGAGAATGTTCCCCGTGCTGCTGTCGGGACTCTCGATCTTGGGCACCACGGCCATCGCCGGAGGAGATGCCGATGGCGAGGACATTCGCCCACCACCACCACCACCTCCTCCCACCAGTGGCTCTGGCTTCTTCTCGGCGGGCGAAAGCGCCCTGTGTCCGGTTACCTTCCCATCGCCGCCGCCGCCGCCCTGCCTCGTGTCTCGATCGTCCTTCTCCTTGGCCGCGTCCTTCTTCTTGAACCTTCGGCGCCTGCGTAAGAAGCTGCCGTTCTCGAACATGTTGTACGAGTCCGGATCGAGGGTCCAGTAGCTGCCCTTGCCCGGCTTCTTGTCGTCTCGTGCCACCTTCACGAAGCACTCGTTGAGGCTGAGGTTGTGTCGGATCGAGTTCTGCCACCCTTGCTTGTTCTCGCGATAGAAGGGGAAGCGCTCCATGATGAACTGGTAGATGCCGTTCAGAGTGATCCGCTTGTCGGCCGCGTTCTGGATGGCCATGGTGATGAGCGCGATGTAGGAGTAGGGCGGCTTGACCATGTCCTTGGCGGCGGCGTGGTGAGAGTAGGGACCGTACGGGCGGCCGTGGAGACCTCCGGCGTACTGATCGTGCGCGTAGTGGACGCTCATCTGGGTGCTCACGGCGCCGTAGCCGTGATGGGTGCCCAGGTAGTAGTTCTGCTCGTTTAGGTACGGCATGACGCTGAGCGCGCTTGTCGGGTTCGACACCGGGTACTGGGTCTGCATCGTCGCCGCTCGCGTGTTGTTGTTGTTGTTGTCGTCGTTGTTGTTGGCGCGTGGTGGTGCCTGTGGCTAGATGAGAGATGGCGTGGAAGCTAAGGAGGTAACGAGGCAGATGTCCCGATATTTAATTTGTTGTTGTTGGTCGAGTTGAGTTGAAGTGGTGCGATGGATGACGAACCGATGCGCCGTCAAACGATGCCGGCACGCCGCGAAACGATTGATACCTATTAATGTGTGTGTTTATATATATGTGTGTGTGTGGGTATATATACACACTAATCGATGTGTAGTAAAATCAGAATGAGTTCAAGAGAACGACAGTAGATGTTGGTGGGCGTCGTTGTTGTCAGCGGTTGCGACCTCGTCCTCTGCTGCTGCTGCTGCTGACGATGTTGCATCTGCCGCTGCTGATGCTGATCCTGCTGCTGATGCTGCTGATGATGCCGATGCTGCTCCTGCTGCTACTGCGGCCGATGCTGCATCTGCCGCTGCTGATGCCACCACCACCGCTGCTGCTGCTGCTGATGATGATGCTGATCCTGCTTGCCGCTCGTGGTGCTGCTGCTGTTTATTTTCTAAGAAATCCGCTCCACTGCGCGCAACCGCCCTCCCACCGCCCGGCGCTCTTCCATTTAGCACCGAGCTGCGAACCCACCGCCGCTCTCTCGGAGCGAGCCAGCGAGAGATAAGGAGAGAGCGAGAGAGATGGGGCGGGTGGGGTGAGGGAGACTGAGTGCGAAGGACTGTGGCAACACAGTGGATCTCACTCAGAGCTGGCGAGAGAGAGAGAGCGAAAGCGTGGGCGGTCTTGTGGAGTTTAAATATCGCCCCAAACTTTGGGGGCTTTTTTTCTCTCTCCCTCGTCCAAATTCTCACCCGGGTTTTAATTCGCAACGCGGGGAGGAACCGGAGCGGTGAGGTGGGAGACGCGGCCAATGGAGGGAGCCTGGGAAAGCGTGACTCCACCTCCTCCTGCTGCTGCTGCTGCTGCACCTCCTCCTCCTCCTCGACCACCACCTTCGTCTTTCCTCCCCCCCTCCTCCCTCCCCCCCCCCCTCAAAATCCTGCCCCCTCCCTCTCGTCTCCATCGTTCTCACCTTCCCACCCCCAACTCCCTGCCTCCCTCCCCAAATCACTCCCTGCCTGCTCCCTTAATCCCCTCCCCCACCACCCCCCACCAACTGCACCCCCCCCCCCCGCCACCACTCAACCCCCATCCCCCCTATCCCGCGATCCAATCATCCACCAAACCCGCCAACTGATCTAATCACCCAATCACTCACCTAACCACCCGCCCGGCCACTCACCCACCCATGCAACCACCGTTCCACTCACCACCTAACCACTCGCCCAAGCCACTCAACTAACCACCCGCCCAGCCATTCACCCAGACACGAACCCAACCAACGGTCCGCTCACCAACATAACCGCCCACTTCACCACTCACCTAACCGCTCACCTAACCACCCGAGTACCCAATCAAGTAATACGCAACCACAACTATTCACTCACCCAACCACTCAACTACTCATCCCACCAGGTAACCGTCCACAAAGCTGACTCGCACACTCACTCGCTCGCTCCTCACCGAGCCACCACTCACCGAACCGTCCACACATCCAACCCGCCCATGCGCTCACCAACCCCTCCAATCGCTCACCAACCCACCCATGCGCTCACCAACCCACCCATGCGCTCACCAACCCCCCCAATCGCTCACTAACCCACCCATGCTCTCACCAACCCCCCCCAATCGCTCACCAACCCCCCCAATCGCTCACCAACCCACCCATGCTCTCACCAACCCCTCCAATCGCTCGCCAGCCCACCCATGCGCTCACCAACCCACCGACCCCCGTACCCAATCCACCGCTCACGCAAAAGCATCCACTCAACCACTCACTCACTCACCCGACAACCAAACGAACCACTCGCTAACTGACTCGTCAAATCACTTACTCACTCGCTCACCACGCTCACCTACCCACCACATCCAACCACTCACCGGCCCACCCAACGGACCACCCACCAAATCCCATCACGGTCTATTTTCGTGTAACTCCGTTTGGCAAAAATTCCAGCTGCGGTTTAATCCACGTGCAAACGATGCCCGAGTGTCTGTAGGTGTCAATGTGTGTGTGTAGGTGTCAATGTATGTGTGTAGGTGTCAATGTGTGTGTGTAGATGTCAATGTGTGTGTGCGTGCTATAGGGTGTTAGGGGTGTGGGCAGGGCGGACCGGTGCCCTCTTAACCCGGCGACCCGAGTTCGATTCCCGCTCACGGCCACCACCACCAACGGTGATAGCGGTTATCTGAGCCTGTGCTGGGCCTCCCCGTAGGTCGACTCAGCCTTAAAATGGGTACCCGGTGCGGTGTGTAAATATCGCCATTCGGAAGACAAAGGCGACCGTGAGTGGTGTTGGCGCACGAACCCCCATCGTGTGCTGTGCCGGCCTTCATAGACGCTGCTGCTCACGATCAGCTGCCCCAACAGTCTGTTTCTATGTTGTATGTGTGTGTGCCTGTGCGCCTGTGTGTGTGTGTGCCTGTGTGTGTCTGTGTGTGCCTGTGTGTGTGCCTGTGTGCGTGTGTGCCTGTGTGTGTGCCTGTGTGTGTGCCTGTGTGTGTGCCTGTGTGCGTGTGTGTGCCTGTGTGCGTGTCTGTGTGTGCCTGCGTGTGTGTCTGTGTGTGTGCCTGTGTGTGTGCCTGTGTGCGTGTGTGCCTGTGTGTGTGCCTGTGTGTGTGCCTGTGTGTGTGCCTGTGTATGTGCTTGTGTGTGTGTCTGTGTGTGTGGGCAGCGGTGGTGTAGTGGCATCGAATTAGTACCTGGTGCGGTGCGTGAACATCGCCACTGGGGAGACAAAGTCGGCCGGGCGTGGTGTTGGCCACCCACCCCCTCGCGTGCCGTCCCGGCCTTAATAGGTGCTCGCTAACAGCACTTGCCCCAACAGCCTGTTTAGGCTATACGGGGGATCTTTGTCTTTGTGTCTGTGTGTGCCCCCGTGTGTGATGTACGGGTGGAGAGATAATATATTCGAGGAGGTGGGGTTGGGGCTACCGCTTATCAGCACAAGGTGACACACTACGAGATTTGCGAATGGAATTCGATCTCATGCCAAGACGCGTGTAATATGATCACGCATTAAAATTCCGTCCGGCCGTATGTACAGATCACGTACGTAGTGTGCGTCTTTTTGTTTGCGTGAATATGGGCGAGTGGGGGGAGTGGCAATGTCGTGGTTAGCGCACTTCGCGACGAACCGATGACCGACGATCCGAGTTCCATTCCCGCTCACGATCAAGCAAGCACAGGCCCGCGTCCAGCAGCACATCGGCCTCAAAGGGCTCTGCCTCCGCGTATCTGATCGTCAATCGTCGTCAACGTTGGCCATGATAAATCCGCTGCTAGATGTAGGCCTCCTCCTCCTCTGCCCCCAAAGGCGTCACCACGGTTCCAGCGACGTAAAATAACAATCGAGCTACACGCGAGGATGGATTCACCGACGATGATGATGATGATCTCCACTTTTAGACGCGTTCAAGTTTTCTGGGCACGACGCGAGGCTCACCCCCCCCCCACCACCCCTACCCAAATTACAGCGCGCGGAGTTGAACCTACTCTCCTACTCTCCTGTCCCGTTGTCCTGTTCCGGGCAATGAGCCTCATGTCTGTAGAGGAATGAGACAAAGGCGGTCGGGCGTGGTGCTGGCTAACACCCCCCCCCTCCCCTCGTGTGCCGTGCCGGCCTTCATAGGTGCTGCTCGCTAACAGCACTTGCCCCGACAGTCTGTTCGGGCTATAGGGGGGATCTTTGTCTTGTTGTGGAGGAATGAGTCTGTGGATAGCAGCCCACTGGCGGCAGATATTTGACAGCTGAACAGCAGCAGCTGCCGCTGCTGTCACCAAGAGAGATTTGTGACTTGGATTTGTAAAACAAAAATTCTAATTGTTTTTAAATTACTACATGTTGTGTGTGTGTGTGTTTTTTTATGACGTGGTGATTGATGCATATGTTAATACGAATTTTTTTTGGTGTAATTAATTGATCAACCTCTTCACACGTCAATGCATTGATTAAGCATCCAGTCAATTAACCAGTTAATTATTTGTGCGATTGCAGGTGAAGACTGCGTCGTAATCCATTTGAATGCGGACATTGCGATTGGCGATACTGGATTACCGAAGTAAAAAAACAACGCGAGTTACACCCGCATTTTAAACCCTTGTGTAGTTAACATGCAAACGAATTCGTGTCGGCGCAGTGTGTTTATGGGTTGTCTTTCCGATTTGCGTAATATTCCGAAAATCGGGCAGACAACCCGACAACAATTTTGGGGAATATTCCTAAAAATTCCCAAAATTATTCCCAATTTTTTTTTCCAAAAAAATCTCGCCCCGGCATGCGAAATGGGCGGTCGATCCCGGGGGGGGGGGGTGGGAGGGGGAAGAATAAATAAATAAACGCGATAAATAAACGTAAAATAAACATATCTAAAAATAATAGTTCCGGATTTTCACGCGAACACCACGGTAATACATTTGACACACGAGTGCATAGGGTGGGTGATCAGAAATAGTTTGTTTTTAAACGTTCCTTTGCGAAGATCCTAATTACCCTCGTGTTTAAGAGTCGCGAACAAGTATATTTGTACATGTGTATATGTATACCTATGCGTGTTATACATGTAGGGTGGTGTACGTGGGATAGCGCACTGCACTACGATTCTCACACACGACCAAAACAACAGGCCGTCATCCAGCAGTGGATTGACCTACGGACAGTTGACGGTCCTGCCCCCCCTAGGTCGGCTCAGCCTCAAATGAGTTACCTGGTGCTGTGTGTAGTAAACATCGACTTTGGAGAGACAAAGGCGGCCGGGCGTGGTCCTGACCACCACACTCCTAGCCCCTTCGCGGCCTCGCTAAACAGCACTTGCCCCAACAGTCTGCTGAAGGCTCCACGGGGAATATTTGTCTTTGTTATGCGTACGTATATGCACAGCATTTAAGTGACGATCATGTAATAGTTTATGAACATCGCTGCATGTGCTGTATATATGTTCGGTAGTGTACCGCTACATATATAAACAGAGTTCTACAAAATGTAAATAATTTCTGAAATCGTGAATGCATTAATTTAATTATTATATCTCCCCCCCCTACTTATATTGATGTACGTATGCATTCGTGCATATACTTACAAAGACAAAGATCCCCCGTATAGCCTTAGCAGACTGGAGGGGCAAGTGCTGTTAGCGAGCACCTATGAAGGCCGGCACGGCACACGAGGCGGTTGGGTGGTCAGGACCACGCCCGGCCGCCTTTGTCTCCCCAGTGGCGATGTTTACTACACACCGCACCAGGTACTCATTTGAGACTGAGTCAACTTAGGGGAGACCCAGGACCGGTTCAAATGAATCGCCACTGTCATTGATCCTGAGCGAGAATGGAACCCGGGACGCCGGAATCGCAGCTCAGCACGCTCACCGCTACACTACCGTATACACTACCACATACACATACGTGCATATACATACGCACATACACATACGTGCATTTACATACCTGCATATACATACGTGCATATACATACGTGCATATACATACGTGTATATACAAAAGTGTATACACATACATATGTGCATATACATATGTGCATTAACATACACATGTAAATGCGTTCGTACACATATAGACGTCTAAATACACACGTATGTGCATATATATGTGTGCATTTACACACACGTATATATATGTACGTATACATACAGACGTCTAAATACACACGTGTGTGCATACACATATGTGTGCATAGAAATATACTATGTACATATACATACCTACACTGCAGCCCGAATGAATA